TAGATTATTTGTGTATACGTAAATAATCCAATTAAAAATGGGCAAAGTATCTAAATAGACATTTCTTCAGAGAAGATATTCAAATGGCCAATAAACGCATGAAAAGATGCTTAACATCACTAGTCATCAGGGGAAAGCAAATCAAAACTACAATGAAATACCGTGTAACACCCACCAGGATGGCTAGAATCAAAAATTTAGATAATAACAAATGTAGGGTAGGAGGTGGAGAAATCCACATTCATCTACTGCTGGTGAGAATGTAAAATGGTGCAGCCACCTTGGAAAATAATCTGGCAGTTCCTGAAATGGTTAAACACAGAATTACCATATGATTCAGCAGTGGGTTCCTAGTTATCTATCTGGGAGATATTAAAACACACGTTCACACAAACACTTCTATATGAATGTTTATAGAAGCATTATTCATAATAGTTAAACAGTGGAAACAATCCAAATGCCCATCAACTGATGAATGGATAAGTAAATGTAATACATGCACACAATGGAATATTATTCAGCCATAAAAAGCAATGAGAGTTGGGCACGGTGGCTCGTGCCTGTAGTCCTAGCTACTTGGGAAGCTGAGGCAGGACGACTGATAGAGGACAGGAGTTGGGGACCACTCTGGGCAACATAGCGAAACTCAGTCTCTAAAAATAAAATTAAAAAAATGAGCCAGGTGTGCTGGCCCGTGCCTTAGTTCCAGCTACTTGAGAGGCTGAGCAGGAAGATTGCTTCAGCCCACGAGTTTGAGACTGCAGGAAGTTATGGCACTACTCCCCTTCAGCCTGGGCAACTGAGTGAGGCTTTGTTTCTAAAAAATCAATAAATAAATGAAATTAGCTTTAAAAAGAAATGAAATTCTAATAGATACCACAGCATGAATGCACCTTGAAAACACTATGCAGTGAAAAAAGCCAGGCATAAAAAATTCACATATTATTTCATTTATAGAAAATGTTGAGAATGCCCATCATTAGAGACAGAAAGCAGATAAGGGGTTGCTTAGGGATGGGGTGGACAGGGGAATGGGCATGATAGCTAAAGAGTATGGGCTTCATTCTGAAGTTAGAAAAATGGTCTAAAATTGGCTGTGGTGATGGTTGCACATCCGTGATTGTATCTATTATACATGACATCCACTATACATTATATCCACTATACACTATATCCACTATACACTTACATCCACTATACACTTATATCCACTATACACCATATCCACTATACACCATATCCACTATACACCGTATCCACTATACACCATATCCACTATACACTTATATCCACTATACACTATATCCACTATACACCATATCCACTATAC